TAACGTGACGCCAACTCCTCATAGCTGTGTTGACGTTTACTTTCATCCATCTAGTTTGTACAACTTCCTTAGAAAACTCAAGCCCTCCCTTACCGGATGCTTTTGATGGTATACCGCAAATTGTGTTCTTGAAATGCGCGTCATCGCTTGCGGCTCCACTCACACACATTTACAATATATCTATGATGTTGGGAGAAGTTCCGCCTATGTGGAAAGAAGCCTCGGTTACAGCCATACCTAAAGTTGATAAAGCGCTTTTTCTCACCAATTTTCGCCCCATCAGTTTACTGCCTACCCCTGTCAAAATCATGGAAAGAATTATACGAGGTAAATTAATTAATTGGCTCAATAACTCGGGTCTAATCCCCGATGAACAGCATGGATTTTTGAACGGTGCTTCTACCACCACCAATTTGGTTGACATTTGATTGGAGCTTGGCGATCAATGAGGGCAAATCTGTTGACACTATTTACGTTGACCTTACTAAGGCATTTGATAAGGTTTGCCATCCTAAGTTACTGAGTAAATTGAGCAAAATTGGAATTGGAAGTAATCTGCTTTCCTGGTTTAGATCTTATTTGTGTGATCGACATATGACTGTTATAGTTGGACATCATTACTCCAAAAAGTACTGCTGCACTAGTGGTGTCCCTCAGGGGGTGTTTTCGCCCCTTTGCTCTTCCTGTATACCCTCGATCTACCATCTATTTTGAAAACCTCTCCTAGCATACAAGTAAAAATGTATGCTGATGATATAAAAATTTATGGAGCATATGATGAAGAGAAGGCCCCAGAAGTTCAGCTGGCACTGCAAACTTCTCTTGATAAATTGATCAAGTGGTGTGATAGCTGGGATCTAGCGTTGAACCTTGACAAATGCTCAACGCTTCATCTTGGAAATGCTTCTACAATCTCCTATCACATCAAAGGCACTACATTGAAAGGATGTGATGCTGTTAGAGATCTGGGCGTCCAGATTGATACGAACCTTAGCTTCACTAAGCACGTCGTTATGACAATCAAGAAAGCGTATTCTCCGCTTCTCATGTTTTTGCTAAATACTAGTACCAACTCCCCAAGGATACTGATATCGCTCTATAAAGCGTTTTGTTCTCCCTCACCTGGAATACTGTTCTCAGATCTGGTCTCCCTTACGCAAAAAAGACATGCGTAAAGTAGAAAAGGTTCAACAACTTTTTACGAGGTTGTTGTACAGACGTGTATCACCCAGAGTGGCCCCATCTGAATACCACGACCGTCTTAAGAAGCTTCATATGGAGTCTTTAACACATCGGCGGGTATTTTCGGACCTTGTATTCTGCTTTCGAGTTCTAGGGAGAGAGAACAAACTAAAAGCTAGCAAATACTGGATTTCTGTTCCTACCAGTGAAAGGTCTGTTTCTTTTAACCTGCAACACTTAAGAATCCGACGCAGAAAATACCTACTGATGTTCAATAATGTGTTTTGTAGGGGAGTTAGGTGGCTTTCGCGTCTCCCTGTTGATACCACTAGTACAGATAGCCATATTTTCAGGAGTAGACTAAGAAGACTTGACTTGTTCAAGTATCGCTGAAAATGAATAGCGTTGCCTGACGGTCATAGCCTTTTTGTATCAGAGATGCTGGACTTGTATTTATTGCTTGGGATGTGCTATACGACTGTGTTTATGGATGGATCTCCGATATAGGCTTTGTTTTCTACCACATTTTCTTCCAATTTTCATCTTTAAAATCTGCCATTTCAGGTGCTCTTTGGTCTTACGATGGTTTGCTTTTCAATTATGGCTATAAATTATGGCTTTGACGTCTTTCGTGTGTCTCACCTCTTACGTCATACTTGTAATTTCGGTCTACTCGTTTTCTTTTAGTTACTAACCAGTCTTTCATCATCATCTTAGTCCGAGTCTTTTTCGCTCAGCTATCCAGTATTCAACCGTACAGCTTGCTGGTTCAACCGAGTGATCTGAATGTGAATCTTTTCACCTTTGGGGTCATTGGGCCTCCCCAGCATTCCGGCTAGGCGGGGTTATGGTTATTATACCTGTGCCAGTAGACCCGCCTGATAAGCTGTCGGTTTGCTTTCAAGATTTAATACAAAGATCGTTCCGCTGGCAACGAGGGGGCATGGGTTCTATCTCCTTGGAGTTATAACTTTTGGAATTATGAGTATCAATGCCTATCAATGCCTACATTTTTATACATATCTAGCTATTAGCCTATCAACATATTCAATGCAAGCCGTTTCACCTTTCTTCATTAGTCTGATTAGGATTAGACTCGGATTGATATGATGATGTCTGCATTCGTTTATTGCTTATTTCGCTGTATTACTAACTTCTCGATGTGTGTTTTGTGTTTTTTTCTTCTTTTGTATTGGAACGCCTTGAATGTACAAATGAAAATGAAAATGAAATCCTAAGTTTTCTTATATTTTATTACTAACTGAGTCAAGTTTGTGCTGATCGTGGTCTTTTTTTAGAAGTTATGAATTTTTGAAAAAAAAATGCCGAAAAATCGATTTCTTAAGAATTCTTAGGAAATTGATTTGTCGGCATTTTTTTCAAAGATTCATAACTTCTGAAAAAAGACCTCGATCAGCACAAACTTGACCTAGTTAGTAATAAAATATAAGAAAACTTAGGATGATGGCTATTCTGGATTTTATCGCACTGTTTCTAGTTTTTTAGCATTTTTGCTTGAAAATTCCAATTTCGGATGATCTCGTTCTTTCATTTCTATCTCTGCAACCTGAGCATGTTGAAAAGTCACCTGGCGATTATTAGAAATTAAATGCATTACGCTTTCTAATAAAATTTGAATTGCGCAAAGCACATTATGAGGGAAGGAAGTTATGATTTTTTGAATATGGTGCGAACAACTTTCGGACCAACCTAATATATAAAGACTCAATCGATCAAGAGAAAAAATAATTCTGAGAGCAATTTCCAGCGTTTTTTGACCAGTTTTGTCGTCGTACAAAGACGTACTCTCTTTCTTCATGCTTCTTTATTATGAAGTATTTGTATAAGACGCTGCTAGAATTCTTCTTCAAGTGTGCGTTTTCTTATTACATAGAGTACCAAAAAGAGAAATACTACTAGGTGAGCAACTACTCGCTTTTGCGTTGATCTTTACGGTTTTCCTAATTTTTTCTCTCACTTTATCCTACTTTTCCTGACATAAAACGCAATCATACGGAATTGATAACTTTGCGGCCCATAGCTTCTCAAAAACCGCTTATGACTAAGAAAAAGAATAGTGTCCTCAAACGCGATGTAATTGGTTGGGAAAACAAAAGCTATTTTTGATTCACTGTATTTTTATTTAATCAAAAACATAACCAAAAAGCAATGAATGTTTGGAGTGAACACTTAGAAGTTGTTACCTTCTCGCTCTACTGCAATGTTTACGCGCAAGTGTTGCCGGTGTGCCGGGACACATAGATCTGCAGTCTGCCCCAATCCCAACCAGGTCACATTTGACATGGCGGGAATCCGTGTCGCGAAGGCATTGCGTTACGTCTACGGCTAGCTGTCTGCTCTCTCCTCGATCTCTTCGCTCTCTGCGACAGCGCGCGTTTGCAGCGCAAACCCCTAGCGCTGCGAGCGCGCAATTCAGCCGATGTTCGACCTGATCCCATTTGGGGTAGACCGTATGATTCTAACTACCCTCGTACTGATTTGGTAGACTTGAGTTGCTTACAGTCATTGGGCATGCACCATTTTATTCAACTGGCTTGGCTTCGGAAAGGCGGGGCTCCGTGACCTAATTAAGACTAGCTAGTGATCAGGGGGTAGGGGAACGAAAGCCGCCAACTTCGGTCGCCTGCGCGGACTGCTGGTCCTGGAACGACATGCAACAACGTTGCGAAAGGACCAGTCAGCCGCGAAAGGCGGCTCAAACTGGCGGCTTTCGTTCCCCTACCCGTGATCAGGGAGCACCCGCGCAAGAGAGACGCACGTGCGTCGCGGGCGCGAGCGGCCTTGATTACGTCACAAAGCCCCGCCTTCCCGAAGTCAATCCAGTTGAATCAAAGGTTAGTCAAATTTTCTGACATGGATACAAATGTCTCGATGCTTGTTAGAGTTGACAAGATTGCGTGGTACCTCGAATGTTGTATCATCCTTGTACGTGCTCTGTCAATTTTATCGCGCCACCCACTGAAAGCAATTCAATTATACTGACATCACAAAATTAGTGAGAAAATATGGAATGTGCGACTCTCTTTGATTTTAGACATGACGTCGAGATTGTGCTTTTTCCAAACCCTTGAACATGATTGTTAACACAATGACAACCATGCAGATTTTTAGTTGTCTGTCTTCTAGGACCGAGGCCTTTTACTGACCAGCCAATATTTTTCAACTATAATTACGCATGCTGCCATCTACAGCACACCTACAGTAAATCTGAAAGATTGATGAAAAAGGTAGAGGTCATCTCTAGGCTGAGTGCAAAGAAAGCTCATAGAGTGAGTCTATGTCAGTATAGTAGTCATTTTTACAAAATTCAAGACTTGACACACATGGTGTGTCAAGGGGTCCCACGCGGTAGTCATCGCTTGGGTCTTCATTGTGTTAATCTACTGGCCGATGTTTCGACAAGGCGCCTCCTTCAAAGCCTTATGGAAAACTCGCAAATTTTTCTGCCAAACGTTTCTGCAGCTACGCAAACAAACCTAAGGCTTTAATACTGTCCGGTCAAAAAGTCGATTTTGAGATTTTCTGCTTTACCGGGCCTCTTCGCTGTGCTGAATTCAAAAATCCACGCTGAAGAACCCCTGCTTTCGGGTCGATCTTTTCGATTCCATTAGCCGCTCTGACATCGCCACCGGCTATGTGCGAACGCATGACTTGAAATTAGAACCGAGAAGATCTCCTAATGCTATCCAAGTTGCAAATATTTAGGTTCTCGGTTTACAAATATCTACTGAGTCTTATTTCTCGCTTAAAGCCTTTAATGACTTGTATGCTCTTTTGAGCAATAAATTCATGCAAAGCCTGTTTTTATATCATTGGTTCGCAGAATGTCCTTTCATTACGACAAACCATAATTATGTCTCAAGTGAATTACAGCATTGTGGACTTATCATACTTTCGAAGCTATAGTCCAAGCTTGCAGGTAATGACGTCAAGAAAATTCTTTGATTTAGAGCGAGCTCCTCCAGTGCATCTGCACGTAACAGCCATTAACAAAGGTACCAAGTCGTTAAGAATAGAGAGGACTTACTGGCATTGGTATCCACCGCTGCATACTTTGTTTTTAACTGGGACGCATTTCCCACTTGATCTTCCCTTACATTTCTGGCAGTATTCAGCACATGTTTTCCACAATTTACCCGTGGCAAACTAAAGAACAAAGGGCTTTCTAGCTCTTTCTTGTAAAGGTTTCGCATATATACGAACCAAATGAAATAAATCACACAGACATATCTGGTTGCAATAATTTGAAGACTTACCTTTGTTTGTGGTGTACAGCGGCTCCAATTTTTGTAACATCCACATTCGGACTGTCTAGTCAGAAAAAGCAACAATAAGAGGGATAAGAGAACGCCGTTCATGATGTATGAACACTCGCAGCTTCTTCGTGAATTTATATCAAGTTATTCACTCCATTCCGCTTTTAATGGTCTATACAGTTAACGATGGAATCACAAAGTTTTTGACAAAAACACTAAAAACGCCCTTCTGCATCACACATCACCCAAATCGCACTTAGATACTTTTTGTAGGGTTGAATCAAAAGCGAATGATTTGGCATCACGTTTGTACTTTGAAAGCTACTCACTAAATTTGACTTAAATTTCTTTTGGAACTAATTTAAACTTTGGTTCTAACTCATAGCATATGGTACAAAGTGGGAATAAAGGTGCATTTGGCTTTTTTATCGATGAAAACTTTTTCTTGACTTAATCGCAACTCATTGATTACCAGATATTGCATATATTAAGACTATACACTACATGCTATCACGACGCATTTTCGTCTTTTTCTAACACAGATCTGCATCAAACGCAGTTCATTTAGCATTACATTTTGACCAGGGCTCGGCACGAGGTGGCTCCACAACTATTGAAAAACGAAGTCTCTTTTGACTTAACAATACCATCATGATTGTAGGGTGCTGGTAGAGAAAAATAGACGGGCGACGGCCCTTCTACACTGCTAGCCTGAGAGCCTAATCACTGCGCGCCTCTGATTGATTGGTGCTGCCGCGTGAGAGCTAGGTTGTTGTTGGAGACGCCCTGAATGGGACGAATCACACGAAAGCACTCCCTTAGAGAGATGAGTCAAGTGTAAAAAATATGTGCTTTGTCAAGTACTCCGCACACGCACGAACGACAGACTTTATGTTTACACAACGAGTGAGTAATCAAAAATTGTAGCAGTGGAGTGACATCGAATAAGACAAAAACTGTCGTGATAAGAAAAGGAAATGCAGGAAGACCTTTGAAGATAATGGACCTTTTGAACGGCTGTGTTTTTTCTATTAGGCAATGCTGGTAGAATGCAGTTCACATACATGTTTTATGAGACTGTGTATGTTCAATTTATTAATAAGGAGATATACAGGGTGTCCAAAAAATGTGCCTACTGCGAAGCCTCTTAAAAGGTGTAATCGCACTTTTTGAACATTGAAAAAACGGCCGCTACTGCTTACCTCGCATGATTTTTTGATAACGCACCATGATAAGTTGCAAACTTCACATTTAGAATCAGCAATTCTAACTAGCTCAGCGTGAAGGTAATAGGCGTTTTATTTTTCTTCTGAGACGAAATATTGTATACCATGGTTCAAAACCCTTGAAGTTTCTACCGTAATCCTACGGTAATGAAGAGAGATGGGTAATTCGCTCTATACTGCAGATTTAAGTTGAGGCCAGCTTTATAAAATAGCACCTAAAGCTTCTTGAAAAATTTCATTACAAGAGAGTTATTAGCCATTAAACAGTAGGCACATTTTTTGGGACACCTTATATAAGAGACCGTAGGAAGCCTTCAGCGTGTATCTGTGCATCTGTACCTTTTCCTTAAATATACTCAATGTAGCTCCTCAAGCTTTTCTCATCTCTCTTACTCTTGCCCTGATAGTTATGTAGGTAACAATTTACGCTATTGTTTACTCACTATCGGCCTCAATGGTTCACCGCCGCTGGCCGATGGCTTAGGTATAATTTTCTAAGTTCATTCATCTTAAGAGGAAAGGATCTCAATTCGCCCAGGCTAATTCAGAACATGCACCACCGTAATCGCTCGAAACGCTGATTCCAAATTTGTAAATTTTAACTGCGAAGCGGTTTTTTAGAAGGAGTTATGAGAGTGGATTCCCTTTGAGATTGAGGCGCCTTACAAATGTTGGCTCTTGTCTATGAGCAATAGAAGAAGCAAGCAATAGAAGCACAAGATGGTGTCGATTAGCATAGTTGTAAGTGACATGGATATAAAACAAATCATGTTACTTACTATTAAGCTTTGATTAGCATCAGAATCATCAAAAATTTCAAGCTTTAGGGCTCCCAAACTACTTAAAGGCTCAATTTTGCAGAAATTGCAATTTACTTGCGAGGGGATTAAAACTTGTGGCACTCTCCTTAGAGGTAGCGTCCAGGCAAGTCTGGACATAATAGGGATTTCATGTGGATGGTAATTTTGGTGTTAGTAGTGCTCTAGCGGCTGAGATATTCCCCTAGAAACTGGACCCCAGGATCGTGTTCGCATGGATTCATGACGCAACGCGCGGGTTCTCGCGCAAAACTGCCATGAATCCATGCGAATACGATCTTGGGGGGGGGGTAAAATTTGGAGGCGTGTATCTCAGCCGTTAACACGTTGACGACGAGCCATTTTTTGAAGGTCTGTCCCTGTGGACGAACCGTTTCCCGGCACTTTCACAGCTGGCTGCATGTATGTATGCATGCATCTATGCGTGAGATACAAAAATGCAGGTGGGCGGGGCGGCTCCGCCCACTTTTGGCAACCCACTTTTGGCAAGCCCCGCCCACTTTTCAAAAATGCTTGAAATTGCCCAAAATCAATGAATTCGTGCAAATTCCGGCATTTTTGAAAAGTGGGCGGGGCTTGCCACTTAGGGGGCGGGGCTTGCCACTCAGGGGGCGGAGCTTGCCTGAAGGTGTGAGGGGCCTGGCTGATAGTTGTTTGAGGTCTTTGCGTTCATTTACGGCCTCATCCATGCTTTTTATGAACAAAAATGGCTCTTGTGGGAGGCTAGGAGTGGGCGGAGTTTGCCAAAAGGGGCGGAGCTAATACATGAAGTATATCTGAGCCTATGTTGATTACATGAACAAAAACTGAGACGATTGGACAGATAGTATTGAAATTAAGGCCGCCGCGCACCATTGCGCGGCGTCGTCCACAGGGACAGACTGCCTGCCGCGCACCATTGCGCGGCACTGTCGTCAACGTGTTAATGAGTCACCTGCGCTGTCTCTTGGACAGTGCCTTAGTATGGCCCCAAAATTACTTTCCAGTAAAATTCCCATATGTCCAGATCTGCCGGGACGCTGCATTCAACAAGCCCCGAAGAGAAACACTCCTCATAGCTTTTTCTACAAAACCGTTCCACAGCTAAGACCTATAGATTTGGAACCAGCACTTCAAGCGCATTGCAGTGATATGTCCCACATCGGATTCGCCGGGCAATTTGCGATTCTTTTGCTGGAAAAGTCATTTTACAGTTTTGTCTACGCATGGGTTGTCTCCTTGCTAATAAATAGTTGTTGGGAATTTTATTTAATAAGACGTGCGAACACCTCAGTTGAGAAATTCCATCATTTACTTCGCATTAGCGCTCTTTGGAACTATGCCGGGTCTCTTACACAAGGAAAATCCGGAAATTACATGAAGCTCAAAAATGTTGCATGTTAGCTTAATCAGATTTTTCAGGTTACACGTGCAGAATTTCTGATTTGGAGAATTGGGAGTGAGGGGTATATACAAACGAATATAAAAACAGCCTTTCCGGTTTTTTGTCTTCAAAAAAACCATCATCCTCTCATTTTTCGAAAATGTGCATTAGCTTCCTTTGAAATCGATATATTTGAAAACTCTGCTAAATTATAAGAAAGGCGAAGTAACTAGTGCCGCCCTGGTGCAGATTAAATAGCGCTAGGAATGGAGCGATGCAGAAGGGCATGCACCCAAAAAAGACAGAAATACAGAAGAACGTTTGAGAAAAAACAATGACGTCAGTATAGTTAGTGCTTCCTGGCTTCCAAAGTCTTTTATGCGGATACACAGACGAAAGTGTAAAATGTCTTTTACAGGCAAGCTTGCCATACCTTTAGCAGAAACGCTTATCTGCTCTTCCAAACTGAAAATGTTTCGAGTCCTACTTTGATCTTCAAAAATATGTTTGAGGGCGAAATCATGCAATTTCTCAGCTGGTTAAAATCGACGGGGTTTTTTTTTCTATTTTTCATGTGTTTGACGAAGTGAGCAGCAAGGAAAAAATTCGACTTTTCGCTGTAAAGCAAACTAGACTTCGACTAAACCTCAGGCTCACATTCGCATTTTTTGCCTTCTGACTCTCTTTGCTATCGTTGTAAACTCAAGATAAAGTAGAATAATCATTAACGCAAAAAGATATCTGAACATTGTACTCAAGGTTGTTCGCGAAGTCGCATTATTTTTACTTATAAAGTAAGATGCGCAGACTAATGAAAGGCCACGCAGCTACAAAAGCTGCGCAGCTTACCTATTGCTACCTTCTTGGGTTTTCAACCATACCATCGATAGATAGAGCTGTGTACTCTAGTGACCTTCACTTTAAGGGCCATAAGAGGACACAACCTTCATCTGAGAAAAAAAAAACAAGTCATCAGGAGCGAAGCCCTGGATGTTATAATCCTGGCTATATCTGAACGAATTTGAATGAAGCAAATATAGGGAAAAATAACTCTAGATTTTCTCAGCAAAACCGAGAATTCGCGTTTTTATAGGCTTTTTTACGCTAAAAGGAAGGTTTCTGCAAAAGTTTCTCCAGAATTCAGGACAACTCTCAGTTAACCTCTTTTTTTGACAAAAATTGACTTCCAGAAGTTTGGGGAAGCTGCTGGAGTTAAATAAGAACGAGGAACTGAGCTTAAATTTTGCGCAGAGGGTTGCGCACGAAAATGCTGGTCTATTTCGAATGATTAATTGGGAATGATTCGAATTTGGGACGTGCCTGTACACAGTAAGTGCCATTCAGGTGCTTCCTTTCTCGTAAGCGGAATCGACACGTCAAAGCTTCGCGCCACTTTCGCGCGCGTGTGGCTTTCGCATTCAAATTGGCATCATTGATTTAAGGACCGCACGCAAGGCCCTCGCGTTGCGCATGCCTAGTTCCTCCGCGAAGGGGAGTACGTAAACATAAGAGGTAAAAAGGCTTTTTTCCAGAGTGATCCAGAAATTGCGGGGGGGGGGGGGAACGATTGAGTTTGATTTATAACAATAATAAACGACTGCACCTTTGAGCTTTATTAGAAGTACGGTTTGGAAGGTTCTACCATTTCAGCATATTTATGCTTTTATTCGTGCATTATTAGATTTCCAAAAGCATTTTTTATATATTCCATCATAATCCGAGTTTGCATGTTGCAATGTCGACAGGATTTTTTGATTTGGGACGATCTGGTCCAGCACATCTAAATACTAAGCAGATCTGCAGCAGTATAATTTTGTGTAAAGCATATCACCTGCACTGAAAACCTCCATTGCATTCTTTTTTATACACTTTCTCACAATGTCCTCCTGCTCTTCCCTTACATTTCTGGCAATAGACGGCACAATTTTTCCATATGATTCCAGTTGCAAACTGAAATACAAGGGAGTAATTGTTTCTCAAAGATGGGTAGTTATGGGACACTAAGAAGTCAATGCTTTTTTAACAAGAAACTACCACTAGCAACGATCTCTTCGTAAGGTTGTTACCCCTGCGAAAATGTCCATTTACATGATTTGCCATGGGGACAGCTGTACATAGGACAAGGTTATGACAGATCGTATCAAGGGCTAGTGAAAAGAAGCAGAAAGAAGTTTCTGTAGAATATTGCAATTCAGAAAGTTGCATGTGTACATTTGCTTGAAGACATACCCGTCGTTTGCCCCAGAAAAATTTCATGTTATAGACTGTGGATTTTATACACAAATGTTTTTTTACTACCCTTCGATTTAACCGGCTGAAGTTGAAGCTGCCCTTTGGCTTGGCGGCTGAAGAGCGAGGCGCGGCCTAATTGAGACTAGGTTATGATCAGAGAGCACTCGGGCGAGAGAAACGCAGAATGCGTCGCGGGCGCGAGCTGCCTCAATTAGGTCACAAAGCCCCGCTTTCCAGCCGCCAAGCCAGTTGAAACAAAGGTTAAGTATACTACAACTATGACATTCTAATACTCGTCTTGACTCTTGCTACAAATCATAACATTTTGCAAACTTGCAATTGAGACTAGCAGCGTTCAAAATTGAGGGCACGACAAATTGCATGAATTAGCGAATTGAGTACATTGAAAACAATAGCGATTTTGGCGAAAATTTGTTACCTGGAGCCTTCACAGGATGGCTAACCGTAACCCTACCATATCGCTAACAACCTAAGTAAATGTCTACAGCGTAATAAGCACATTTGTAATTGTAGACAAGATTTGGACAGCAATGACAAAGTCGCTATCATCTCGAATAATGCATTCCAGCGGTTCCTAATTCTGGAAATGCATGAAATGATGAAAAATGACAGAATTCACAAATTGCCGCTTGCAAATGTGCTAAGAGCTCTGAAACAGCGTTGATTCTATCCGAGATTGTTGAAAAGATAAAGGGTGTCGTCAAATAAGGATTGATCGTCAGGGTAGAGTAGAGACGAAAAGGACCATCATTTGGGTGAATTATTCGCACATTATCAGGGATCGGTATCATTATAAAAACTGTCAAAATCAGCGAATCCTCGCAATGCAGTTCTTTTCTTTGTAAAGATTAGGTACGAAAAAATTTTGCAAAAATTCATTTTCAGAAGAAAAAATTAATTAATCCAGATAAAGAAGTTAACATATAAAATTTACCCCATTCGAAAAAAATCTGGTCATCACTCGTAGGGCTATACACATATACCTTTGAAACAACAGACGGAAAAAGGCTCAATTCAGAGCACTCACGAGGATTTTCCATTAAAAGCTGATCGTTTACTTTGAGCAGCATCAACATTTTATTTTGGTCAACGAATAAAGTTAAAATTACGGTATTAGCGTTCAAAGCCAGGTCCGGGCAGATTTGCGAGCAGAGCGTCAACAATTTATCAAAGCGAGCTGAGCGGGTGAGCGCTATACAATAATGAACTTAAGTAAATTAGAGCCAGAAGAGCAAATGAGTTCAACTGCTAGCAAGTCTGTATTGGACACTGTAAAATGATTAACATTCTAAATGCAATTATTCCGTTTGATGATACAACATACAACTCCTTCAATTCTTTTGTTTCTGTCAGTTCGGTGAATTAAATAAGGCAAACCTGAGAGAATTTCGGAGTCACGTATTTTAGTACTAAGCCATGTTTCGATTATGAACAGGGTCAAGCAAGGGATGTGGCACACGATCACTGGTTATGACTCCCCCCCCCCCTGATTTGCTGTCTTAATAAGAACCACTCCCCCCCTCCGAATTATATACCTAAGATAGCATTACCTGAAGGCCCTGTCAAACATAATGGGCAACATATCCATAACTAGCATGTCATTAATAAACCCCTGTAGACAAAGTTTGAGCGAATTCTGAAGATTCAAGATACTAGGCCCTAAGTGAAATGGTCATATTCCAACATGGTTAACTTTGTTTCAAAGATGAATTAGCTATTCGTTTTTGCACTCAAGACAAAGCACTACTTCTTCTTTATTCAACTCAGAAGTCCCGCTTCAAAAGACCTCCAAACTGTGAAATTAAAGGCCATCCAAGGGCACGTTTTTCCATTTTCCGCTTTTGATGGCTGCGATTTCACCAACTATTACTCAGAGGAAAGAAAACGAATCAGGCTCAAATCACTCCTGTGAAAACTAGGAGGTCTAGGCTATCGATCCATATAAACAACGTTTGCTAAAAATATTTTTCTAATATAGTTAATGGGGTGTGGCACACCCCCTTCAAAGCTGTTGCAGCCACACCATGGCCATTAAAAGCGAAAATGGGAAAAATCAAATTTTGGTTGGCTTCTAATTCCACAGTTTGGAGGTGTTTTGAAACGGGATTTCTGAGATGGACAAAGAAGGAGTAATGCTTTGTCTTGAGTGCAAAGCGGATAGCTATTTCACCTTTGAAACAAAGTTAACCATGTTGGAATATGACCATTTCACTTAGGGCCTAGTATCTTGAATCTTCAGAATTCACTCAAACTTTGTCTACAGGGGTTTATTGACATGCTAGTTATGGAGATGATACAATATCATATTATCATGCTATCAGATTACCCAACTACGACCCCATCCCCTTCTGACTCCTCAGTACGACCCCTCGCCCCCAGGCGTGGCGTGCCACACCCCAGGTTGACCCTGATTATGAATTCTAAATCTGGTTTATGCAGACATAAAAAGAAATGGAGGTGATCAACTTTATTCACAATACTTCGGGATTACAATAAAAAGCACATCAAAAAAGCATCTCTGTATACTTCATGAAAAAATGATGCGGTCATTTCAAAGTTCTCAATACTTAAAGGCAGCGTTCAGACAGATCTGGACATATGGAAATTTTTTACATGGAAAGTAATTTTGGGACTCTAACTAAGGCACTGCTCAAGCCACAGAGTAGGTGACACTATCGGCTGAGGTATACGCTTTTAAGTTGGACCAAGCATCGTATTCGCATGGATTCATGGCAGTTTTGCGCGAGGACCCACGCTTTGCGCCATAAATCCATGCGAAATACGATCCTAGGGTCCAATTTCGAAGAAAATATCCGAGTTGTTAGAGTATTATCTGAGCTGCCAGTTGAATAGCGGCTTAGCTAGGGCCCCAAAATTATCCACTGAGATCATCATGTGTTCGGACTTGCCTGGACGCTACCTTTGATAAAGATTTTTCGCTTAAAGGCTTTGGGCAGAGTTCACGCAATTTCATCGCCGCGATTCTTCCAATAAAATAAATCGTTACTAGTTTATTGCATGCCGATCATCTTGCATTTCGGTCGTGATAGTCTCCAACAGGACCAATTGTGATTGACCATCACAACCGAAATGCAAGTTGATCGGAATGCAATGAACTCGTAACCGTTTGTTTCGTTGGAAGAATTGTGGCGATGAAATCGCGTCAACTCTGCCCGAGACCAAAAGTGAGGAGTTCACTGGTGATCCTAGGCTTGTCCTTGCCCTTTATTTTAGGACGTTTGGCGTAAATCCGAAATGCCTCTTCTAATCTTCCAGACGACGTCTGTGTCATAAGCCAAAGTTTTATAAAACTTTGTCTCAGCGTGTTCCAGCGCTCTGCGAGTAGCGTAGCGGATATCTTAGAGAATAATATGGACGTGCACGTTTATCTTTGCATTGACTGACGTCGCACCAATCGTTCAGGCATCTAGGTGAGACAACAAATTCTCGTATGCTCTTATAGTAAGACGCTAAACTTGCACAAATAAAATCAGTGAATAATCGATAATGTTTTGACCTAGCGAGTATTAATCAACGAAAGGATCACTCGCGCAAATGGTTTCATTATGATCAGTTTTTATGGAGTTTTTTGAGGTTCTGTCGAGTATACTATTTGCACTATATGCTTTTTGCTTTGCCAAGAGGCTATGGAGTGGCCCTGCGAATTAATTTTCTACGTAAAATGGGTCATTTTAGCTGATACTTTGTAATAGTAGTTCAGCTAGGGCCAACAGACTACATTAGTTCAGGTACACAGATTGACCTGGGCTCTGTCCGCAAAGCAAAGAAGAGATGTTTGATTTTACAAACTACGAGAAGGTAAGTTATTACTTTCATCATTCTAATTGTAAGAAGGGAAGGTCACGATGTAAAATTGGCCGATCATCATAAACTACAGGTCATGGGTGAAAGCTTGGAATGCTGATTGAAAAATCCGCTTTTCGTATCTGCAGAGAGCCTTTGGGAAAGAATTTATGAGCATTTTTTGGAGCTAAAAAATGATTCAATGACCAGCATGAAATCATTCGTTACCGCGCTAGACCTCAAATAAAGCAGCGGTAAGTGTCAAGAGATCCCATGCAATGAACTTCCGTTGCCTGGTATATCAGTACTTTCTGTTTCTCCACTTGATGTTTAGAAAGGCTAGATTGATTTTATGAAGGCCATTAGTTCTATTTTTCGCCTTAAAATTGCTCATGGCTTTTTCCCTGAAGGCGCTCTGCAGATACGGAAAGCGGATTTGGAAACAGAGATCCGAGCTTTCACCAATGGTCTGCAGTTTGTAGCGATCGGCCACTTCGAGTTCATGACCCTCCTTTATAAGTCTCCTCTATATACTATAGTCAGCAGGTGCTACTAGGTTGAAGGGAATTTCGTTCACAAAGTCCCTCACAGATGTTAAGGGCCGGGCATACTTCAAGCGATTTCAATCGCTACGCGATTTGGCAATATGCCAAGTGTCCATAACTCATTTTAAGCACACTATAAATGCACTGAAGATAGGACATTTCATCATTTTACGTAAGTTATACACCATTATGCATGTGCAATTTGCTAATGTTGGATCCGAAAAATTCTGGCGAATTGCCAATTCGCGTCGCGACTGAAATCGCGTGAAGTATGCCCGGCCCTTTACACCTAGACCTTTAGCAAATGCGAGCTATATCAAGCCGTCTTTTGGCAGTGGTCTTTCGCAAACAAGTCCTTTATCCCACACCATAAGCCAGCTAGGTAAGTATGGTTTATTTTTGAAATCGTGACGACGAGTTGACTGCGGTCTTTCCGCACACAGAAGGATAAAACACTCATACAAACAGGCCACCTCAACGCTAAGCTTAGTCACTTCCAGTGCCTGAATACTATCATATGTAAGCGGAAAAACTATTTGAGTAGAGATAGAAACCAAGAGTTGGGAGTGCGTGCGTGTTGCGCGCAGTCGCGCCATCGTCACGATTTTTCAAATGCCCTATACATATGTCGTAAGTGGATTACAGCACATTTATCACCATAGCTATGATCCAAGGTAACGACATCAAGAAAATTGCTTTTCTTAGGGCGAAGAAGTTCACTGCATCTGCACGCAAGAACAATTTACAAGGAGCGAATTGATAAGATTAGGGGAAATTTACTTGCATTGGAATCCACCGTTGCATTCTTTGCTGTAAACTTTGCGGTACTTTCCGAATTCTCTTCCCCTACATTTTCGGCAGTATTCACTACATGATTTCCAGATTTTACCTAACTAAAACGAAAACTTTGCTTTCTAGCTTTCATTCTTAAAAAGCCTTCGCATCTATACGAATGGGATGAAAAAGATATCATAGAAGTAAATGAATACAAAACGAGTCAAATAGACTTACTGTATATTTTGGCACGCAGCGTTTCCAATCTTTGTAACATTTACATTCGGACTGTAAAGTCAAAGAGAGCAACAATAGGAGGGACAAGAAGAAGCTATTCATGGTGTCTGAACGCCTACAGATTTTTCGTCTATTTATATCAAGACTTACAAAATCATTACACTGCGCTTTTATTGGTCTATATAGCGCAGTTGACGATGGGATCACTAAAGTTTTCGAGAAAAGCCCCATCAACGTTCCAATGAAACACGTACACATCGACCCGATTCACCTAAATAGTTTTTATAAAGTGGAGACAATTTGGATGACTTGGCAATACAGGGTGCGGCAAAAGTCTGAGAGCCTAACTTTGCAGTATTGCAATTACAAAGGTACTGGTGGTTTTGATTTTAATTTTAAGCCACATGATGCTGCGGTCATCCTCTAAAAAAGACACTTTATCTAGCTGGAAATGGCTGCCATATGTTTTTGTAAGATTGGAAACTACCAAACTAGTAGTTTTGCAGAGCGAGAAAACCAGAAATTTCGATATTTACAACTTTTGCTAGAACTAGAGATGCTGTTAACATTTTACAACGCAATGCACACAATATAGAAGAGGCTTTGCGCTATCGAATCGTAGTTTTGCTTTTGCCAGGAGCTCTTGCATAAACGGAAAACAAAAGTTTGCGAATGTTACCTACGTGCCAGTGGAAATCCGTCTTCAGAACAAATTTAAAAGCTATAGGATGCTCAACAGGCACTGGGACCAAAGCTGTATTTTTTGCATATGTCTTCTAAATTAGAATCTAGTGAAATTTGGCCATGGAAACACTTTTTATACTTTTTAAACGATAATTAAATTTTTATTTGCGTAATTGTAGCCAAAATTCCGGTATGCAACATACACATGCTTCTAATTGGAAATCCAATATTTTTATTCCTAGGCAATGCAAAAAATACTTTTTGGAAGCATGTTGTAGATAAAAGCTTGCTCTATAATGCTGCACATTTGCCAAGGTAAAAGAAGCAGCTATTGTGAAGGCATGGGGCAAATTTCTTTACGACTACCTGCGTGCCATGACAGGTGGACTTGCCAAGATTTTGTAGGGCTGCGTGGAAGCCAAAAGAGGCAAATTTGCAATTCAAGAACTGGGCTGTATTTGCAATGGTTCGAATTATATGTGCGCCAAATTTTTCGTTTCTAGGTACTTTTCTTCTCGTTTTGTACGAAAAAGTACTAGGCTTCCAGACTTTTGCCGCACCCTGTAGTTTTGTACTTCGAAACTTCGCATTGTGTCTGACTTGGCGCTTTCTTTCAAGGCTAATAACTTTGGTTACTCGTCGTAACTACGAGTATATGGTAAAAAATGTGATTAAGGTGCACGTGGCTATCTTTATGTAGACTTATGTTATTGAATCGACGAAACAGTTGAGCTTCTTGAAACAGTCGCAGCTCATTGATCATCATATTATTGCATACTACTCAGACACTTTTTCCGACGGCCCGCGCGCATTCATGAGCCTACCGTGCGAGCGGCGCGCCTAAATTTGTGGGCGTGGCATCGTTTCCGACGGGCGGCGCGCCATCGAAACCTGCCGTGCGAGCGGCGCGCCTTGCCTTCGACGGGCGGCGCGCCATCTTGAGTGACCGGCGAGCGACGCGCTATCAACAAATATGTAAGAACAACGAACATGTAACTTTACAAGACGCGTAAGCATCATTTTGAATTCGTTGTTAGCCGTAGGAGGTTGCATTTGTTATCGCATCGTTGGTTGCTTGTCTGTTTTGCCGGCTAATCGTCTCCATTTTTTGTAAGTTTTTTCTGGTTCACATTTGTACTGTCATTGTCATCCATGTGCTCCCTATTCCGTGGCATCTTAGCGTCCGTGTTGCCTCCGCTATTCGGCTATCCGCGCCCCAAAATTTTTTGCCATGGATTTCGCTCAAACTTGGCCCAGAAGGGTTATCTGACGTGCTGATTACGAATATCACCTTTTCTCCACTGGAAAACGCCTCCCTGCAGGGTTACGGTAGGTATACGGTAGGGTGTCAAAATCATAGATTTGCCCGAAACTTGGCTCAGAGGGGTTATTCGGCCCGCTGATGCTAAATATCACATTGGTTTTGAACCGTAGCGCCTCTTTCTCGGATTACGGTAGCTACACGGTAACTGGTGTAAAGCGTAGTTCTGCCTGAAACGGGTGTACGGCGATTCGGACGATCGTGAAGCTTTGCACACACGACCACCGCCGTGCGCTACACACCCTGCTGCGGCTTTTGCCTAAGCAAAACACAGGGGAAAGATACATTTGCCGATTTGTGATTTCGACCCCTACCGTAACTATGCAGGGAGACGTATTCGTGCGGATTTTTGGTGCAATCACCAGAGTTGTTTGCTATGTTTTTTCCTGATATTACAATATTTTGAAAGATGTATCGGGCCGCGGTCAGCCCCAAGCGTAAATCTGGAGGACCACAGACGCATGCGAAGCCTAGACCTGTTTTTCCACCATGTCTCACTGGGTATGTTTGTTATCTGGTTTTATTACCTCTAATAGCTTCGTTTTCAGTAGAGAGAATCCTTTTGTGGAAAATATTGTCGAAGACGAAGGGGCACCCTCAGATATCCAGATGGAATTAGAAGTTCCACAAGGTTTATAGCTTTTGCTTTTTTTCCTTTCTGTTATGTTTCCTAAAATTTGTTTTTCCAGGTAACGTGTACAAGAGAAGCGAATTTCATGTTGAAACTCCTCTACGAGGAGTTCAGCCTCTTCCGTTGCTAGAGCACTTCATGAATGTGTTGAGAACGGAATCTTGCACAGTGACAGGGCAGCCCGTTTAAAATTTTATCGAAGATGCATCGCCAAGAGTTTAACGAAGCGGTCTACTACGTAAGTACGAGTACATTAATTTCGATAAAAACATACAAATTCATTCTAGGAGTTCATCAGATCCGATATCGTACTACGCGCTAAAGTCACTTACGGCAGTTTGAATCGCATGGTAGGATCGGACATCCACTCGCTATGGCATATTGCTAATCGCATGACAGTACGGCTGCACATTCTGGGATGTCATATATGCGTTGACTTGCTCAACCTGATTTAGGCCGAGATTTCGAGAGCTGTAACAGTAAAAAATGTTCGACGAATTGAAAGCAGCGAACAATCGACGCCAACACGTGACTTGTGCGTACCAGGACGTGACGCCTGCATATCTGTGGACAACTGTGTCAAGATTTGGCAAATTCAGGAGTTAGTTGTTGTTGTTGTTTTATGATTGTTGCCTGTGGTGTTCTGCTTTTGATTCTGTATTATGTCGTTCTGTAAGTCTTCGGATAATAAATCTGCCATCATCATACCTGTATACATCTTATATATAAAGCTGAATGTCTGTTTGTCTGTCTGTATGTCTGTATGTTTGTATGTCTGTATGTCTGTCTGTGTGTACGTATGTTCCGAATAGAAAATTCCTTTTTTGAACCGATTTGGACCAAACTTGGCACACATACACATCGGGCCCCGGCGGGTGTCATAGGCCACTTTTCGTCATCGATCGATATCGATTTTATCGATTTTTTGCAAAATTCGAGCTACGGGGCTGGGAGTTGGCACAGGGGGGGGGGGGGTAATTGAGCATGCTGATCACCCCCGTAAGAGTGATCAGCATGCTAGATTACACCCCTCTGCCAAATTTCAGCCCCCTAGCTCAAATTTTGCAAAAAATTGATAAAATCGACATCGATCGATAACGAAAAGTGGACTGTGACACCCGCCGTGGCCCGAAGTGTATGTGTGCCAAGTTTGGTCTGGATCGGTTAAGAAATGGAATTTTCTATTCGGAACATACGGCGGAGCCGGGTAAGCCGGCTAGTGTTTAATAAATCTGACGACGTGAGGTCATATTTCAAAAACAAAATATGAATCTTATCAAAGGATTGCTATCTGTATCACAATAGGGTCCTAAAACGCTTTCGAAGGAGCGGGCGAGCGGCGCGCCTTCAGCGAGCGAGCCGCGTACCTTCATTCCACGGGCGGCGGGAGGCATGAGCGCTCGCACGCTCAAGGCGCGCGGGCCGTCGGAAAAAGTGTCTGAGTAGCTGGCACCCCGGCCTTACCCGGGCGAGGATCTCAATCGGTCACATATTATGTGAGCTGTTAGCATAGACTCACATTCTAAATGACGCATTGAGTCACCGCATCCTCCTCATCGTCAAATAAAAATGATCCACCGCTCGTCTTACATGACAAGGGGAAAATGCTCTGTCAAAACCCAATAAGCTTTTCTAGATATAAGTAAGCGTATCGATAAATCAATAAAGCGACCCAGTGAAGTAGCCTATAATGATCTTCGGTTTTGAAAAACATATGTGTGCAAAGTTTCAGCTCGGCTGGTGCACGCATAACCGTACAGTTACATGATATATACAGTTACATACATGACATGCGCACAGACAAACAGATTCTCTGCTTTGTATACACAGCGAGAGAAATTAAACAATTCGCATGCTATCACATATTTGTATTTTTTCTCTTTCTAACGAAACGATTCGCCAAATGCAGTTCTGTTATTCGATTAGAAGATGGTCTTAGAATGTAAAGTTGCCGTATGTACATTACTTGTTAAACATGCTCAGTGAACTCTGAAGTTCGCTGCTACCTCTGCAGCAATGCAATGGAGTTTCATTTGGAGATGGCAAAATACTTAAGGATGTTATTTAGGAAGAATTCTCGATTTCTTGATTTTGCTCTACAAAGCATTTGATTTGACAAATTTACATCAGAGTCTGTTACAAAACAATGAGGCAAGATGCAACACTTTCCGTTCATTATTTTTGTTGTGAGAAAAATAAATCCAAAATGGGAAGTTCAAACTCCTCAAGATTCTAGACAAGACCACTCCATAATTTGTAATCCTATCCGTGAAGCTGTCGCAAGTTTCTCAGAAAGTTCTTTTTGTGGACTTGGTATGCTAACATTTTCCTAGCAGAAATCTCTCAAAAAACTTTAAAAGATGCCTCCGATGAAAGCTTTGCTGGAAAATTGGTTTTTAAATTATCTGAAGAGATCAAGTGCACAAAAATGGTAGTCACTCAAAACTTGCGAGAAACTCATCATTAGGGTCTAGCGTAATGTGGGACACATAAATCTGCGCGTAAATTGGGAGCCTAGCGAGCTCGCTTTCGTTTTTTCTCGTTTTCGAACCCATCTTTCTGTTTGAGTAATTATGCTTTTGGTGTTCATATATTAGATCAAAGGAAACAAAATCAGGCTCAAATCACTTTTACG